ACGAAAGTCTACTTCAACCCCCCCCCCCCAAAAGGCGTACAAAAACAGTAAAGCTAAAAATAACCCAAGGTCCCTTGCGCACCCCCGGAGGGGAAGGGGAGGAACCAGGCACTGCTGGTGAGAGTCCCAGGGGCGGCCGCCTCCCAGCAGCCCACAGGCCGGGCTGAGCTGGGCCAGAGGAGTGCCAGGCACATGACGGACGAGACCCCCGGCACAGGACAGAAGCACCAAGCGCTGACTGGACAGGCCCGCCACGTGCTCTACATGACATCCACAAAGAACTCACTGGGGTTGCCCATGGCCATGTGGAAGCTCTGGCGGCTGGCGGTCAGCTCCGGGGGCACAGAGCCCAGGTCTCTGACCGGAGGGGCCCCCGGGGGCTGCACTGCTGGAGGCACGGGGGGTGGGGGCGGGGGCACCATGACCACCATCATGGGATTGTAGGGGAGGGCCATGCCAGGGGGTGGTCCGTAGGGATGCAGCCCGGGGTGGGCTCGGAGATTGGGCGCGCCCCCCGAAGAGCCTCTGGAAGGGGGTGGGCCCCCATCACCAGCCCCACCAGGGTCCCCCCCCCCGCCGAAGGCTGCCCCCCCGGGTGGAGGGCTCGGACTCACTGCCGCTGCCGGACTTGGACTCGGGGGCCCGTTCCTCAGGCCTCCCCGTACGTCCCGCCCCCCCATCGCTCCGTGTTGACCCACTGCTCCGGCTCCCTGTGGGGTGGAGGAGAGGAGGCGAACTGAACCCTAGCCCAGCGGCCCCGGGTCACCCCCTGCTCCGCCCCTGCACCAGCCTCTCCTGCCTGCATCCCCCCCCCCCCCCCCCCCCCCCCGGCTGGTGTCTAGCCGCGACTTACCCTCGCTGTGCTGGCTGCTGGCACTGCCCCCGCCGTAGGTGTAGGATGAGAGCTCATGGTAGGGTGGCGGCTGGGGGCTATATGGGTGCGGGGCCGGGTACTGGTAGGAGAAGGTGGGCAGGAGGGGCCACGGGGTCGCCCCAGGCAGCGGGGCCAAGGTGTCCTGGTCCGAAGCCCCACTGGAACCGTCATCGTTCAGGGACAGGTTGACCAGGTCTGGAGAGCGAGAGGGAGACCGGGAGTCACTGCTTCCAGTGGCCAGGACGCAAAGATGGTGAACGGAGGGAAACAGGGCACTGCTTCCCCAGAACCATCCACGACGGGGGGCGGAGATGAGGGCCTCTGACAGGAAACACCCACCCCTCTGCCGCAGTCAGGGCAGAGCTCACCCAGGGCCCCGAGTCCCACACTCTTCTGAGACTCAGGAGACTCCGCTCCCCCCCAGCACACAGCCCTGTGCGTGGCGCACAGCTTGACAGGACCAAGTGGATGTTGGCCAGGGCGGAGCCTGACGTAGGACACACTGCTCAAGTGACCACGGGCACCCTGGCGGGCTGTGGGCCGGAGACAGGAAGGGGCGGGGATGGGGGCGGGGGGGGGGGGGGGCACTTACAGCTCTCACAGCCGCCACTGAGGTCCCCGAACACGTAATAGCACTGCTCAGAGAAGGTGATTTTGTTCACCGTGTGTCGGATGAGGCCAGCCTTGAGCAGCCCGCTGGCGTATTTGCGGGCCTCCCGGCGCTCAGGAAAGCCTTCCACGTGATGGTAAAGCCAGTCAACTACGTCCGAGCCTGGGGGCGCAAGGAGCAGAAAAAGTGCTCAGGTTTTCCTCCCCGACTGCTGCCTCACCCCTGCCTGGGCCCTTCCCAGCCGGGGCCTCCTGCCCCCCCCCCCCCCCCCCCTCCCCAGCACCACCTGCCCAGAGACCGGAGCTACCCAGGAAGGCGTTAGGGATGGTGATCTTGAGCCACATGCGGTCCCGAACTTCCAGTCCAGATTCGGGAGCTGCCATGGCCTTGGTCACAGACGCCATGTCTGTGTGGATGGAGAGACCCCGCCCCTCACAACCTGTCAGAGAAAGGAGGCGGCAGGGTAGGGCCCCAGCACCACGGAGAGGCCTCCCAGGGAGGGGAAAGAGGCGGGGCTGGGGGCTCACCGTCAGGCAGAGAGGACCCCGATGTCATGGTGCTCATGGACGAGGAGCCCGGATAGGCTGGGAAGGTGCCCGTCAGCGCGGCGGAGTGGGACACCCAGGCAGCGGGGTCAATGGGCTGGATGGGCTCGTCTGGGACAGAGGAGGCCCCCGAGACGGATGCTTCCCCGGCCCTCCCCGACTCAGACTCCCACCCCGCCTCCCTCCCGACCCTCCCCCACCGCCTCCCGCCACGTGGAGGCCCAACCCCGACCCCTGCTCTCTTGCCCAGGCAGCCACAGACCCTCCCTGGCGCCACTCACTCCGAGGAAGGGTGAAGTAGGCCTGGGGAGAGGGATCCCAGCACTTGGCCACCGTCAGCACGATGGGGCTGTGGGAGGGGAGAAGCGGTCAGGCGGGGGTGGCTGGCAAGGGCTCGAGAGTGTGCAGGCCTGGAACTAACGGGCTGAGGGACAGGACGGAGAAGACACCAGAGACAGAGGGACCCACCAACACAGACCAGTCTAGAAATGCCGCTGAGTGTAAGTCCAGGAACCAGAGGGCTAACCGATGCGGTTCACGAACCCGCATACATGCGTGCGCACGCACACGAGGTGGGGGGACCGAATGGAGCAGTGACAGCAAGGCAGGAGAACAATGCCCTCCGGGGAGACTGAGGACGGGGCGTCGGAGGCGCCGGCCACCTTCTAGGTCACGATCTGAGCCGGGCTCACACAGGCACCCCCACGCCACGGTTACTTGTCACGTCACACGGTCCCACCCCGTGCTCTCGGGACACGCGTGATGCCACGCCCCCGCTAACCGAGACGCCGCCACCACTAGGAGAGCAGACCCAGGCCGGGCCAGCGGCTCACCCGGGCTTGTGCACGATGTCCCGCAGCACCCGCACCGCGTCGTCATTGCTCATGTTCTCGAAGTTCACGTCGTTCACCTGGAAGCCAGGCCAGCGGGTCAGAGGCCGCCGGGGCCCCCAACCCTACCCCCCGCCCCGGGGCCCAGGACCAGCGCACCTGCAGCAACATGTCGCCCGGCTCGATGCGCCCGTCGGCCGCCACGGCGCCCCCCTTCATGATGGAGCCGATGTAGATGCCGCCGTCGCCCCGCTCGTTGCTCTGGCCCACGATGGAGATGCCCAGGAAGTTGTACTTCTCTGCGGAGGGGGCGCGGGTGACCGGAGGCAGCCCGCCGCGCACCCCCTGGGCCCCCGCAGACCCGGCCCCCGCCCGGGCTCCCCCGTACCCATGTTGAGCGTGACCGTGATGATGTTGAGGGACATGGTGGAGTCGGTGACGCTGCTGAAGGACGAGGCCTGTCGGGGAAACGGGGAAGGAGCCGCACTGCCTCCGACGACCCAGGGACGGGCCCTGGGGTGCTCGCTTCCCGTGCCCTCGTACCCCCTGAACCAAGGCCCCCGACTTCTCCAAGGGCCAGCTGTCCCGTGAGAGCCCCCTCACCCTCTCCAGGCGGGGCGGCCGCTGCTTCCTCCGCCGCCGGTGGCGCTTCAGGAGGCGGGAGGCACTGCTCTGCTCCGTGGAGCTGCTGAACCTGTCAGGAGGCGGAGGCGGTCACGGGGTGGGGGGGGGGGGAGGGGGGGAAGGGAGGATGGGCGGAGGAGGAGGAGGAGGACAGGAGGATGGGCGGTGCCCTACCTGCTCATGGTGTCGTCGTCGTCAGAGTCGCCCAGGCTGGTGCTCTCCAGCTCGCTGGTCATGAGCGTCGAGGAGCTCTCGTACCCGGCCAGGTGGCGCTCCAGCCTCGAGGGGCCGCCAGGCCTGTGGCCCCCCGCTGAGCATGAACAGGAACCTCAGGAAGCTGTCCCCCCTCCTCACTCCCACCACCGCCCTCCCTGGGCTCCCGGAGGACCCGGCCTCGGGCCCGCCCCCCCTCACCGCCATGCTCACTGCTGTCTCTCCTGCGAGGCCGTTCCCGCCGCAGAGACACCACCGACTCCGTTTCTGTCTCGGGCTCCAGGTTTTCCCGGCTGCTGGACACGTTAGGGCTGGACGGGCAGAGACGGTTCGCAGCCCGCATCAGTGGGCTGGGGCTCCACATCCTCGACTCCCTCCCCTGGACTCAAGGATCCCCAATCTCACTGGAAGGATGGAGGTCTGGAGTCGCCAATGCCACTGGTCCTCTCCGGCGGCAAAGGGGGTAACGGTGGCGGCGGTGGCGCCAGCTCGGTCCGAGGCTCGTGGGCTGGGGGAGCCACCTCGGGTTGGGGGTTATCCGATGACACCAGCTGAAAAGTACAAAGACAGAAACTGGCTCGACCAGGAAGTGAGGCGTCCCAGGACGGGGAGAGGGGCAGGGGGTGGGTCTGAGCGAGGACGGGACTTGGGATGAGCACAGAGAGAGCAGGAGCTGGCAGTACGGGCCCCAGAGAAGGCTGATGGGCCGCGGCTGGCTCTCCAAGCCGCCGAGGAAGCAAAGAGCCAGGGCCTCCAACGAGTGGGCCGGGGGCACTGAGGCTCAGAGCGCCTGGCGGCATGAGAGGGACGGCCGCTCACCCAGGACACCACCCTTCCGTTGAAGCAGGGGAGGCGGGCGCTGTCATCTGAAATCTCCTCCTTCACCACCCTGCCGAGAGAGGGCACAAAGGCCGGTGAGACTGGCCTCACCACACCCCCAACACACCCCCAATTCAAACCTCCTGACCCGCATCCATGGAGCTCGGGGGGCGCCGACTTTCTCCAGCCCGGACCCAGTCCTCTTCCCTGACACTAAAACCCTTCGCTTGCACACCTACGGGGTCTCCCCATTCGCTCCCTTTCCTTCCTTCTCTCCCCAACTCATCCTCCGGGCTCGATGCTGCTCCAAAGATTTCCTGGGGTCCGCTTCCAACTTCTCACTCGGATCTCAGAGACCGTCCTGTCCCCTTGGGTGACCCTACAGGTAGGTCTGTCTCACCTTGGGAGTCTTGCCGGCACCTCCCCCAACCCCCACCCCACTCCTCACACCCTGTCCCCAAAACCTTTGGCCCCGAAGCCTCTAGTCTCACGTTTTCCTTGCTTTTCTCTCTCTCTCTCCCTCCCAGAGAGCTCTCCAAATGGGCTACTTTTCCCCACGTGAAAACACCCGCTAGACCAAAAATGGTACCTCCTCACTAGGCGGGGCCCTCCCAGGGACAGACAAACCCCAGCCATGACCCACCCCCCCGTGCTTCCCATAGGTCTCTGCACCAAGCAACCTGTCTTGCCTGACAGACCCCAAAGCCCAGCGTCAGGATGGACACGACTCGCTCCTTCTTCTCACCCACCACGTGAAATCACGGCCGCCTGTTCTGTTCGGCACCCTGTCCTGGCCACACAGCGACAGACCGGACACTTGTTAAGCATCAACAAACGTTGGTCGAATAAATACACGAACTACGAGAATCTCTGCCCTCAACGGGTTCTCTCTCTCACACGCACACATTCTCACCTCCAAATTCGAACAGCCTGTCTCATTAACCCTCTGGCTTAAGGTGGTTCTAGAAGCCTGGATATGTGACATCTTAGTCCCATTTGTTACCAATGGGACAACTCAGCCCAATCACTGTCAATCAATCTCGATACAACACAGGATGTTTTGCAACATAATTCAGTCTCTGCGTAACCTAGTCTGGCAAATCACTCCGTCTTATGTCACACCATAACCTCACTTATGGACGACGGGTCAGACCCGACATTATTAACGACGGTACCAACTTACTGAAAAGCTGCTGTACGCCACGCACCTGTGTGAGATTTTCTATACTAACTACGTCAACATACTGCTAACAAACAGTAGAACCTTGATTTAAATCCCAGCCAAGTCCCAGGGGGCGCCTGGGTGGCTCGGTTGGTTGAGCATCCAACTTCGGCTCAGGTCATGATCTCACGGTTCCTGGGTCCGAGCTCCACATCGGGCTCGCTGCTGTCAGTGCAGAGCCTGCTTCAGATCCTCTGCTCCCCCCATCTCTTTCCCCCTCCCCCTCTTTCTCTTTCCGTCTCTCTCTCTCAAAATCAACCAATCGATCAGTCAACCCCAGGTAACTCCCAAGATAATACCGCCTTCCCAACATCCAACAAACAGTCTTTCTCGGTAGAAGCCAGTCTGTTCAGCTATCCATAGAAGCCAGACTGCCCCAGTCTAAACCAGCCTGCCTTCAAGAGCTGAAGGTGGAGGGCTCCCCGTCTCAAGAGCTATAAACCCAAAAGGACTCACTGTGTATTAAAAATCCTAGTCGAGTCCACAATGACCTAAATTACTCCAGAATAGCCCAATATGTTTTAGAAACAGCCGAGAACGTCCTCACATGCAGCTGTCTGTACCAATATAGAGCGGATTATCTCTATACAGTTGTCCGTACTGGCATAGACCCCCCCCAAAGCCCTGCTCGTCTGCCCCTGAACTGAGGCTCAATAAAAACCAAACCCCAGCAAAAACTAACATCAACCAATACAACCCAGTAGAGACCAGGGTGGCCCAAGTTTTTCCCAGGCAGTCTCATCCACCCCTTGGCAGCCTAGAACATCCCAATACAGCATTCTTTGCATTAGTACATACCAGAACGTCCCCAAACAATCCTGTCTGCTCTAATGCAGTCCAGGATGTCCCAAATTGCCCCAACACAAATCAATCTATACCCGAAGATTCCACGACATCCCTCATAGCCTGCGTGCTACAGGACTGCTCGGAATACAGGACGGGTGAATTCAGCACCTCCCCAAATAAACCACTGTGTCCCACTCTATTCCAGGATAGCCTAATCTCCCCTAATCTGGTTTAGCACAGCCCAGTCTGTCGTCCGACAGCGCCGAGCGCCCCAATCTGTCCAAGCATAACCTTGCCCGTCCTGGGATAGGCAATCTAACCCCAGCATAACACAATCTGCTCCACTAGAACCCAGAAAACCCAGTACGGCCCAGAGCAGACCTGTGCCCCTCGATATTGCCCAATCCACGCCAGCACGGCCCCCCATCGGCTGCAATCTAGGCCTCGCGCTCACCCGAAATCCTGATCCATTGACTTGAAAAAGTACTTAGCGCCCGCGGGCCGCTGCAGGACGCTCTTGAAATCGCCCAGGGTGATGCGCTCCGCGGGGACGGGAATCTTCACCAGGTACGGGGTCTCTTCTTCATCCAGGTGGTAAATCACCTTCGTCTCCCCGACACCACCGCCCCCCGCGCCGCTGCCCGCCATGGTCTCGCCCGCGCGCTCCCGGGCTCCGCCGCCCACCCAAAGGGGCGAAGCGCCCCCGCCGCGCCTGCGCACACCCGCCACCCGACGCGCGAGGCGACCAGGACCGGCCCGGCGCCGGAGAGGGGCAGCGGGGCGGAGGGCGGGGGGCAGCGAGGTGGCGGCCGAGGGAAGGGGGGACGGGCCGTAGGGCTCGACCCGAGGCCGTAGACGCCGCCGCCGCCTCCTCCTCCTCCGCCGCCGCCGCGCGCCACCGCCGCCGACGTCGCGGGCGCCCTTCAGCACCCCGCCCACCTCTCCCCATGTCACGTGGTCCGCGTCGGCCCGCCCTCCGCCACGTGACCCCCTCCCGGTCACGTGACCTCCCGGCTCCTCCCCGGGCCCCTGACACGTGATCGTTGCTTTCAGCAACGGTCTCCCAACCCGCAACGGCCCCGCCCCCGAATGTGTCCCCCCCCCCGCCCCCTCCCCCCAGCACCCACCCTGCTCTGCTCCGCTCAGGCGGGGTGCTCAGAGCAAGTCTGATCCCCTGGAGCGTGCGTGTCGGGGGAGCGGATGGGGGGTGTGGGGGTCCCGGACTGGGGGGAGGGGGGGAAGGCGCGCCGCCAGGTCGTGGAGGTGGGTTTCGGCCCCACTCCCAGCCAGTCTTCGGTCAGCTTTTCCCAAGCCTCCCTCCCAAGCAGGACAGTCAGTGAGGGCTATAAACACAAAAGAGCCCACTCCGCTTTATTTACAACACGCAGGCTGTCTGTACAAACAGCTGGCCGACGGTATTAAAAACAAAAGAGGTGAGTGAGTCCCGTCACCTTTCTGTTTTCCTTCCTCCCCTCGGCCAGGCTCTGGTTGGCCCTCCACCTCCGAGCTGCCCTGCCCGAAAGGGGAAGGCCGAAATTAAAACTACAACCGGTGTAGAATAAATGGGGAGTGAGAGAAAAGACGAGGAAGGGGAGGGGGGTGCTGTATTTACACTCGAGTTTTACAGACAACTGTCCCATTCCACCCCAATTCCAACGCTGGCCCACAAGGTGAGGGGTGGCAGGTCTAAGGGGCAGAAATGAAGTGTCGAGGGACCCAGACGGCCTCCCACCCCCAACCGTAATGGGTCCACGTTCAAGTCCACAAGGTGGGAAGGAAAGGTAAGGTTGGAGCCGAGACACTCATTTCCAAACCAGCCTCCCTCGGGTATTCCTGCCTTTGAAGTGGGACAATATCCAAGCTCCAGGGGACATACTGAGGACCCCGAGGCTCAGTTCCCAAGTCCTGTTGTCATTTGGAAGTCCCAGCCTAGAGATGGCGATGTCACGGCTCTCCCGATTTGGGAGGCCCCCCTAACCGCCGGGCCTCTGGCCGCAGTTCCTTGCATTTCTGGCAGTAAAAGAAGTCGGGGACATTGGTCTTCTTAATCTTCGCACAGGACAGGTGGATCCATGTCCCACACAGGCTGCACTCGATCATGGGCCGTCCTGCAAAGGGCTTTCGGCAGTAACACGTGATCAGGTCCCATGAGTCATCACCTGGGGAAAGAAGGTTTGTTTGGTGCTCTGCCCGAGCTCTTGGGTCCCCAGCAGCCCCGAGCCCGTCCTCCTAGCTAACCCGGGCCAGCCCCAAACCTCGCACCTGATTCCACCATGATGTCCTCGTCCATGACGCGCATCTCGCCTTCGCTGGAGCTGGCGTCTCCGTCTTGGCTGGTTTCCGTGCTCCCCACGTCCTTGCTTTCGCTGTCAGTGGGAGGGGCTCCTTCGGGGTGCACCGTGGCAGCAGGCCTAGGAGCCTCGGGGGGTGTCGGCAGCACGGGGGCGGGGGCTTCACCCCCCACCATTGCCGCCATCTCTTCTTCCTCCTCCTCTTCCTCTTCTTCCTCCTCCTCTTCAGAGTCTGTGTCACTGGGGGGTGCCCGGGGAGGCCCAGGAGGTGGGAGTCTATCCCCCCGCTCTGCCTTTTTCAACTTCCGTTTCTTGCTCTTCTTAATTCGAGACCTCTTTTCCCCATCCCCGGGAGCCGGCCGAGGCCTCCGGAGCACCCCAAAGCCAGCTCCCCCTCCCGGCCCCAACTTTCGGTTCTTTCGGTCCTTCTTTCGAGGAGGTTGGGAGAGGTCCCCCTGGGAAAGGGGTACCGGGGTGAGAGCAGCAGGGGGCCGGGAGGCATGTGTCAGGGATGTGGGGGACAGTGGAGACGCCATTTTGGGCCCATCTAGATCAAAGAGCGAGTCCTTGAGCTTCATCTTCTCAAGCAGGGTCGCGCTGTCAGGGGCCTGCAGACGAGAAAAAGTGGACCTTGGGGGTCCTGGCTGAGTGGGGCCTGCTTGAGCCGCCCTTCTCTTGGATGACTTTGCTTTCTTAACAAAGGTCTGGATGGTTCGGAGATCTGAGGGGGCCGAGTCCCAGCCATCACTGTCTGCCGCACTCTCACCTCGCAAAGGAGAGCTGGAGCCTGAGGCTGGCCAATCGCTTTCCTTAAATGGGGGGAAGAGACCAGGGTCAGCAGGGGCCCAGGGGCACCTCAGCCCCTGTACAAACCCAGCCTAAAAACCAAGGACAAGATCTACCCCGAGATACCCTGGCCCAAACCACTAAAACAAAAAACAAAACCACTGTACTCAGAAACTTTGTCCCCTCCCCAATTCCCCTCAGCATCTCCCCTTGAACACCTGCACGTCACCTCTGCAGTCCCCACAGCCTTGCGGCATTGTCACCCGCAGACCAGAGCGCGATTTCTTTTACCTGTTTCCGTATAGCCACGTTTGTTACCATTTTCAGCTTCCTGATACTTATCCAGCAGCGCCCTCCCATTAATACCCCAAGACCGACCATTCACTGCTGCTCGGCCCCGCCGAGTCTCTGAGTCACCCAGCTGCCCCCAGGTACTGGTTTTCCCACGTTTCCCATTCCCCTGGTCTTCTGGGTCCCATCATCGGGTAGAGGTTTCCCTTACACAGTGACAGACTGCCCTCTCCAGTCCTAGGACACCCACCCTCAGGCTACTGGCCCTCCAGTCCCTACCTCTTTGCTAGAGGGAATGTAACCGGCATAGGCCAACACGAAACTGCAGAATTTGTTGAAGTCCTCAATTGTTCTCCGACGTTTCTCTGGTGGCTGAAAGGAAACAGGTATCACAAGGAATTTAAGAGGGGCATTCCCAAAGGCAGAAACCCCGGAGCAAGGGATCTAGAAGAGGCAGGAGGAAGGGGGAGAGGGAGAAAGGGGGGGGGGGGG